AACCTACAGACTCTCTTTTGCGTTACCACCGCTGCTGAAAGAACAGTTAAACCAAGAAACAGATGCAGATCATGATACCACGTGACTAACTCTCGCGCACTCCCACGTGATCCATATAATATGGCTATTTTAAAATATTTATTTTGTTAGATGTCTAGAAAATTACTTTCCTGAAGAATTCAAGTGTGTGTAATAATTGTACCTAGAACACAAGGAGAAATCATTGAATATCAGGTAGCTGAACATCACAGATCAGTTTCTTGGCACAGAATGCCTTTAGATATCGGATATTTAATGATTACGATAGCAACTGGGTGCTTGCAGCTGAATTGAATGGGACATTTCATACAAAATAAGCAAACGCTTACAACAATGCATTATCTCACCAAAATATTATTTTTCTAGTTTTCTGAGTACTTTCCTTTGATAAGATCGTTGTGAGATATGGAAAACCTTACTAGATATCTAAATTAGACAAAACTTTGCTAGAATGGGGTTATGGGTTTCCTAGGAAAGTAGGACTTATCGTAATATCTACCCCAGCTAAGCACCAATTAAAAAATGCAACTTGTACATTTTATCTACATGATGCTTTATAGGCCACTAACACTGCAATCCAGAAGGACCAGCAGCCATGTAGTCATGTTGTTCTCCTCCGCTTGCTTCCATTTGGTCCCAAAACTCAACCTAAAAATCTGATAACCTCTTTATGCGTAGTCTTAACAACTAACTTTTCGTAGAACAGACGTCTCTTGATGGTGAGCTTGAATAAGCAGAGGTACTGTTGTATGGCGATGTTTCGTTGCTTCGATAGGTCCCGTACGGTGACTTTTTCTGCCGCTGGAATTCAACAGTATGACAATTTTTAAACTAGTCAGGACATGGATTAAACAATGTAAATACTAATAAAGAATAAATTACCTAAAAAAAATTTCGAGTTATTGAAATAATTTAATTTTTCTTCAAAGTTTATTTGATATATGATTGCATCACGTTTATAAACATTTTCAAATCAGACGTTCATTAACGATTTTTTTCATTTCCTGCGAATTCCTGTCACCGCATTCAACAATCGAGAAGATAGAACAAGGTCGTAATGAGGCAACATGCTGCATCTATACCTTATCGCATCAATACATTCTTGTTCGACTTCTCGATAATGCTATATGATGCATATCATCCCATACTACCTATGCAATTTTATTTTATACAACAAATAGATGCTTTCTCTTGACCTAATCTTCTTATTTAATTTCACTCCTTGCTTACTTTTCTCGACTTATATCAAAGACAAGCATTTGAGTTCGAATTTGAAGTAACCTCCGTAGGCGGATGAAACTGCTTTGTTAGAAATTCATTTTTTCATTAATTTCTTTTCTAGCGTTCGGAGCTCGAGAGTCCGCTTCTTGTCTATAGTAGATTTAGGTAAAGTTAGGAGAAATTAACTGTAAATTTCAATGCCCGACAACTCATAACGC